TGCTATAATAGGTAGAGAAGTAGAGGGATAATAATAATAATAACAGGGAGAGAAGAAATGGGTATAATAATAATAATAATAATAATAATAATAATAATAATAATATCCAATAAAGGTGGTCCCAGTGGTGACTGGCATATTGGGTGCAGTGCCTTTGGCCCACGACCCCATATAAGCAGGGTAATAATAATAGTATTAATAATGATATTATAGTAGACATTTGTGGAGATTGGTAGATACTGGAATAATAATCATAATCATCATCATTCATGGGATTGGTAGAGGCTGGAATAATAATAATAATAATAATAATAATAATAATAATAATAATAATAATAGATAATAATCATCATCAATACAGTAGACAACCATGGGATTGGTAGATGCTGAAATAATAATAATAATAATAATAATAATAATAACAACAACAACAACAACAAAATCATCATCCATGGTAGATGTTGGAATAATAATAATAAGATAAATGGGATTGGTAGATGCTGCAATAATAATAATAATAATAATAATAATAATAATAATAATCAATACAGTAGACATCCATGGGCTTGGTAGATGCTGAATTAAAAATAATAATATTAACAACAACCACAACAACAACATCCATTGGATTGGTAGATGTTGGAATAATAATAAGATCAATGGGATTGGTAGATGCTGCTATAATAATAATAGATAATCATCATCATCATCAATACAGTAGACATCCATGGGATTGGTAGATGCTGAATTAATAATAATATTAATAACAACAACAACATCCATTGGATTGATAGGTGTTGGAATAATAATAATAAGATCAATGGGATTGGTAGATACTGCTATAATAATAATAATAATAATAATAATAATAATAATTATTATTATTATTGGCGCAGTGCCTAAAGACCTTGGCCTGCACTTAAAAACAACTCGTGCTGACAAAATTACCATCTGTCAGCTGCAAAAGGTCACCTTGCTCAGATTTGCACACATATTGCTGGCTGTGGACTAATCTTGTTATATAATAATAATAATAATAATAATAATAATAATAATAATAATAATAATGGCAGTGAGACTCCTATAATTAATTTTGGATGCTTTTGTGACCCAGGTTTGCCAAATATTACCGGGATGCGTCTGGCGTCGATTTCCGCACCTTGATCAAAGCCTATGGGATCCGCTTTGATGTCATGGTCAACGGGAAGGTGAGGCTGATGTTTATAATTGACGGAGGCCATGTCAGTCACCACCACACACACACATATAATTTGGATCTTTCTCGAATCTTTCAGGCAGGGAAGTTTAACATCATCCCAACGATCATCAACGTAGGATCAGGCCTCGCCTTGATGGGTGCGGTAAGTGAGATCATGTCATATCATTCACTCAAAGACACACACACCAACACACACACACACACACATACACAATTGTCTTTATTTCTAAACAGTTGGTATTTCTTTTCCTAGGGAGCTTTCTTCTGCGACCTGGTGCTGCTTTACCTCCTCCGGAAGAGCAATTTTTACCGAGGCAAAAAATACGAGGAAGTGAGGTATCTATTATTATTAATATTATTATTAATATTAAACTATACTTATAATTTATTGACATTATTTGAATATATATATGTATATATTTTATTTATATTATTTTTATTATTCTTATAGTTTATTATTACATATATACACACAAACACAACATTTTTATTATATATACATAATTTATTGGTATTATTTGTATATACAATTTTATTCATATATTTTTATTATTCTTTTATTATTAGTTTATTAATTTATTATTACATATATACACACAAACACAACATTTATATATATATAATATATATATATATATATATATATATATATACACACCGTATATTCCGGCATATAAGACGACTGGGCGTATAAGATGACCCCCAACATTTCCAGTTAAAATATAGAGTTAAGACGACTCCCATGCATAAGACTATACCCGCGTATAAGACGACCCCTGACTTTTGAGAAGATTTTCTTGGGTTAAAAAGTAGTCTTATACGCCAGAATATACTGTATATATAATTTATTGTTTTTATTATCCTTATAGTTTATTACATATATGCACACAAACATAACACAGACACATATAATTTATTGATATTATTTGAATATATATATATATATATATATAATTTTATTTATTTTTATTATTCTTAGTTTATTATTAAATATATACACACAAACACATTTTTATTATATATATGGATAATTTATTGAAATTTTTTTATAAATATATAATTTTATTTATATTATTTCTATTATTCTTATAGTTTATTATTACATATATACACACAAACATAACATTTATATATATATTATTTATTTATATTATTGAATATCTATATTTTATTTATTTTTATTATTCTAAGTTTATTATTACATATATACACACACATTTTTATTATATATAATTTATTGATATTATTTTATATATATATATAATTTTATTTATATTAATATTATTATTCTTAGTTTATTATTACATATATACACACAAACATATATATATAATTTATTGATATATGAATATATATAATTTTATTTATTATTCTTCGTTTATTATTACATATATACATAATTTTATTATATATGTATAAATATATAATTTATTGATATTATTTGAATATATACAATAAAATATATTGATATTTTTAGTATTCTTTTTGTCTGATAATTATTACATAGATATACACACATATATTTTATTACGATTGTTATTATTTAATTATATATATAACTAGCTGTGCCCTGCCACGCGTTGCTGTGGCCTATAGTAAAACTTATCAAAGTTGAGGTAGATATCTGGACTATTATGAAAGAGAGGTCCCTACCTATTCCTTCCCCCTTTTCCTCCCCCTTTCTCTCCTTTCTTCCTTCTCTACTCTTTCTTTCTTTCCTTCTTTCACTACTTGGTTTCATCCTTCTCTCTTTCCTTCATTCCCTCCCCCTTTCTTCCTTTGCCTTTCTTCCCTCCCTGTTTGCTTCCTTCTTTCACTTTTTATTTCCTTTTATTTCACCACCATCATAACAATAACAATAATGCAATGCATTGCCTCTGGGACCTGACACCTCTCCCATTCCCCCTAAAAGGGTCTCAGAGGAAGAATCATAGCATCATCATAATCATAGAAATAACAACCTTTACCCGCCACGCGTTGCTATGGCCAACCTTCCCTCTTTCTCTCCTTCTTTCCCTCCTTCCTTCCTTCCCTATCTTATCTCTTTCCTTCCTTCCCCCTTTTTCTTTCTCGTCTGGTCTCTTTTCTTCCTTCTCTCTTTCCTTCTTTCCTTCCCTCCCTCTTTCTCTACATCTTCCCCCTTCCTTCACTCCCTCTTTCCTTCCTTCATTCCCTTTTTTCTTTCCTTCTCTCCTTCTTCCTTCCCCCTTTTTCTTTCTCTTCTGGTCTCTTTTCTTCCTTCTCTCTTTCCTTCTTTCCTTCCCTCCCTCTTTCTCTACATCTTCCCCCTTCCTTCACTCCCTCTTTCCTTCCTTCATTCCCTTTTTTCTTTCCTTCTCTCCTTCATTCCTTCCCCCTTTTTCTTGCTCTTCTGGTCTCTTTTCTTCCTTCTCTCTTTCCTTCTTTCCTTCCCTCCCTCTTTCTCTACATCTTCCCCCTTCCTTCACTCCCTCTTTCCTTCCTTCATTCCCTTTTTTCTTCTCTCCTTCCTTCCTTCCCCCTTTTTCTTTCTCTTCTGGTCTCTTTTCTTCCTTCTCTCTTTCCTTCTTTCCTTCCCTCCCTCTTTCTCTACATCTTCCCCCTTCCTTCACTCCCTCTTTCCTTCCTTCATTCCCTTTTTCTTTCCTTCTCTCCTTCCTTCCTTCCCCCTTTTTCTTTCCCTCCCTCTGTCTCTCATTTCTTCCTTCTCTACCTCTTTCCTTCCTTCCCCCTTTTTCTTTCTCTTCTGCTGTCTCTCTTTTCTTTCCTTCCATCTTTCCTTTTCTTTCCTTTTCTTCTTCCTTCTTTCTCTAACTTTCCTTCCTTCCCCCTTTTTCTTTACCTCCCTTTCTCTTTCTTCCTTCTTTCCTTCCTTCCTTCCTGTCTTTCCTGGATTTTGACAGGGCGGGAAGGGGCGGGGTGGGGTTTGGAGGTGGCGTGAAGTAAAAGGAGGTAAGATTGGGGCAGGGGAATGATGGAGCATGGGGTTGTGTGTGTGTGTGCGGCGGCGGGAGTGATGGAGTGTGGGGTTGCGTGTGTGTGAGTGATGGAGCGTGGGGTTGCGTGTGTGTGTGCGGCGGTGGGGGCGTGGGGTTGCGTGTGTGTGTGTGGGGGGGGGAGTGATGGAGCGTGGGGTTGCGTGTGTGTGCGGCGGCGGGGGGAGTGGGGTTGCGTGTGTGTGTGTGCGGCGGCGGGGGGAGTGATGGAGCGTGGGGTTGCGTGTGTGTGTGCGGCAGCGGGGGGGGTTGCGTGTGTGTGTGTGTGGCGGTGGGGGGAGTGATGGAGCGTGGGGTTGCGTGTGTGTGTGCGGCGGGGGGAGTGATGGAGCGTGGGGTTGTGTGTGTGCATGCGGCAGGGGGTGTGTGTGTGCGGGAAGTGGCGCGGCGGGGCTTGGAGTGGGCATGGCTTCCGCAGAGGGAACGTTGGCCGGAAGACTGTGTGCGCGCGCCAGGGAACTTGCGGCTGGGCACCAATGCGCATGCTCAGTTGTTTTGCCGTTTTGTGAGTGTGTTGTTGTGTTGTTTTTCATTTTGAGTAGATATGTTTGTACCTTGATGGGTTGTGTTATGGGCATGGGAATTTTGGTTAAGTTTCGTTGGGGGGTTTGTGAGTTTTGTTGTTTTTTTTGTGAGTGTGTTGTTGTGTTGTTTTTCATTTTGAGTAGATATGTTTGTACCTTGTGGGTTGTGTTATGGGCATGGGATTTTGGTTAAGTTTCGTTGGGGGATTTTTGAGTTTTGTTGTTTTGCCGTTTTGTGAGTGTGTTGTTGTGTTGTTTTTCATTTTGAGTAGATTGTTTGTACCTTGTGGGTTGTGTTATGGGCATGGCAATTTTGGTACAGTTTCGTTGGGGGTTGTGGAGTTTTGCTGTCCGGTTGAACCAACCTAACAGATTTATATATATAGATTTATTGACATTATTTGATATATATATATATATATATATATATATATATATTTTTCTTTTAGTTTAATTATTATTACATATATATACACACAAAACATCTTATTATTGTTATTATTTTTATTATTATAGATATTTTTATTATTAGTGGTTTTTGTATTTATTTACATCCCGAGATGTAAGAGGAAACATTGCCGAATGGAGTGTTAACTCCTATTCTTCTCTTTCTTTTCTTTTCTTTTCTTTTCTTTTCTTTCCTTTCCTTTTCTTTAGGAAGCCTCTCCCCGAAAGCAACGTCAATGGGAACCAAAGCTCCGACTCGCTCTCTCGCTTGGATCAGCTCAGATCAATGCAAACCATTGAGACTTAAAGGAGGCTTTGCTCTATCTTTTTTTTACAACAAAATGCAAAAAAATTAAAAAATAAATCCATATATGTATATATGAATCAATATATATCGATATTTCGGAAGATCTTGGTCAAGTCAACCAATGGGTTGAGCTGGATTATTTTTGCAACAGAGGCAACCCAGAACCAACGAGAAAAACAGAGGAATAATACCATTCGGGAAAATGTGAATAATAATAATAATAATTTGCCTTGCAATTTTTTCTGCCATTTGTTTGAATGGGAGCGACCTCGGATGAACTCTTGCACTTTGGAAAATATTCATCGCCATATTATTACGATCATCATCTAAGGGAAATGGACTAGATGGCCTCTGGGGTGCCCCCTAACTCTTATGACCTTATGAAGGCATTGGGAATAGCCAGGCATTACTCGGCTGCCTCTTTACCTCCTTGATGCTGCGTTTCCTTTTGGCCATCTGCCAGGAGGGCTTTGAAGCTGCTTTGGATGCATGAAGGCAGAAGAAGGGCTGGACTGGATGCCCTTTGGGACCCTTCTCAACTCTTGGGATTCAATGAAACCTTGCCAAGAAAACCACACACACCCACACACACACACACATATATGTTAAAAATTACCTTCTTGTTTCTCAGGTATCTTCAAAATCCCAATGAGCAAAAAGAATAATAAAATAGCCATTTGCTTCTACAGAAAAGGGCTGTCCCACGCAAACGTCGTCTCAAATGGTAAACTTGGTTTGGAAACATGGAATCGACTCAAAACCCGCCAAATCATAATCATAATAAAAATGTTATTCCAGCATATACCAAACCCCAGGGGTATTATGAGTCTATTGCATTATTATTATTATTATTATTATTTGAAACACAACAAGATGAGTCCACAGCAGACACCCTGCTGGCTGTTGTATTGGATCACATTATTATTATTATTATTATTATTATTATTATTATTATTATTATTATCTAACAATCCCTGAGTGCCTGGTAACCCATTACTATTATATTATTATTATTTGATACATAAGTACAGAGAAAACAAGATCACCCTGCTGTCTTTTGTATTTGATCACATGACGGATACCTCACAAGTGTCTAGGATTGTGTGATGTATCAGCGAATAATGTGTGCAGATCCAAGTCGGGTGGCCTTTTGCAGCTGACAGATGGTAATTTTGTCAGTGCCGATTGTGTTTAAGAGCAGGCCAAGGTCTTGATGCACTGCGCCGTGTGCCAATCACCACTGGGATCACCTTGACTGGCTTGTGCCAGAGTCTTTGCAGTTCGATCTTAAAATCCTCATATCATGTCACCACTGGAACCACCTTTACTGGCTATTGCTATTATTATTATTATTGTTATTATTTTGATACCCATTTCTTCTCTCCCAGTTGTTATTATTGTTGTTGTTGAAGGCTTTCATGGCTGGAATAACTGGGTTTAATGTATGCTTGCCTATGGATGCTTGCCATAGATGCAGGCGAAACGTCAGGAGAGAATGCTTCTAGAACCTGGCCATATAGCCTGAAAAACCTACAACAACCCATTATTATTGTTATTGTTATTATTACCACCACTGGGACCACCTTGATGGGCTTGTGCCAGCGTCTTTGCGGTTCGATCTTTAAATCCTCGTATCGTGTCAGCTTTTCCAGTTGCTTCTCATCAATCTTCTTGTTGTTGTTGATGTTATTATTATTATTTCTATCAATTTCTATGACTGCCAGCTAACTTAGTGTACTGTTAATAAGAATAACAACAACAACAACAACAACTTAGCAGTGCCAAGTGATCATTACGGCTTATGTAATAATAATAATAACAACAACAACAGGATAATGGCTTGTATTATTATGCATATATTGCAAAATGTTCAATGCAAGGCAAAGGATTCCAAGTAATCATCACGGCTTATGTAATAACAACAACAACAACAACAACAGGATAATAGCTTGTATTATCATGCATATATTGCAACATGTTCAATGCAATGCAAAGGATTCCAAGTGATCATTACAGCTTATATAATAATAATAATAATAATAATAATAATAATAATAATAATAATAATAATAGGAAAACGGCTTGTATTATTATGAGATTGGCAAGATATTCTTTAGGGGCCTTTTCCCAATCTTGAATGCTATTGTTATTATTACTATTGTTGAAGGCTTTCATGGCTGGAATCACTGGGTTGTTGTAGGTTTTTCAGGCTCTATGGCCATGTTCTAGAAGCATTCTCTCCTGATGTTTTGCCTGCATCCCATTGTGTTTTGGACTAGATGCCCTTTGAGGGTCTTCTCTGGCTCTAGGATCCTTCAATGGATAGAGCTCTGGACGGTGTATTATTTACATTGTGTTTAGACTGAACGCCCTTTGAGGATCTCCTCCAAGGGACTATTTACATTGTGTTTAATGAAGCTTGGCTGGATGCCCTCTGGGGGACTCTTCTGACTCAAGGATCCTACAGTGGATAGAGGGACTATTACACCAAGAGATTTCCCATTGTATTGGACTGGACGCCCTTTGAGGGTCTTTAGGATGCTATGATAGATCAAGAGAGAGAGCGACTACTCGCACACCAAGAGATTTGCAATTGTGTTTAATGAGCAGGCTGGACTAAATGACCTTTGAGGATCTCCTCCAAGGGTCTATTTACATTGTGTTTAATGAGGTTAGGCTGGATGGCCTTTGGGGGCCTCTTCGGACTCTAGGATCCTACGGTGGGTAGAGGGAGAGGGCTACTACTCGCACACCAAGACATTTCCCATTGTGTTTAATGAGAAGGCTTGGTTGACGGCCCGCGGGACGGGTTCGGCCCGTGTTTCCGACTCCTGTGTCCTAATAGACGTGGACCATGCCGTAGAGGAAGGTCCAGAAGAGGATGTAGGTGAAGAGTCCGCCAATGAGCCCGCCGGTGAAGAGGGGCCGCCGGGACTTGAAGAACTTTCCCCAGCGGCGCCCGGCCTTGAGGACAAGGAGCAGCGAGAGCAGGAGCGAGGCCAGGAAGTAGAAGACGAAGCCGTGCAGGGCGGTCAGGCCCAGGATCCCGGCCGTGGCGCCCGAGAGGGCCGAGACTGACGTCCGGCAGTAGTCCAGGATGGCCGCGTTGCCCCGCACGGCCCCCTCGCTGATGAACTGCGGACCCTCCCGCCTCGACATCGCCACCGCCCCCGACATGGCACCAACGTAGAAGGAGACACAGACACAGACAGAGAGAGGCCTGTTGGGAAGAGAGAATAGACGCTTGCAACCATACACGTTCATTGAACGTAATAGATACCATTACAAGCAAGTTACAAATGAGAGAGGTTCTGCAAGTTGAATTTGTATCTAAGTCGCAACAGGGACATTTACACTCAAAATATGCTGTATTTAATAGAGATTATTACAGGTGACCCCCAAGTTATGAATGAAAGAGGTTCTGTAAGTCGAATTTGTATCTAAGTTGCAATAAGGACATTTCTTAAGTGTCACTCCAGCCCAAAAAGTACTGTGTTGACTCAAATCTAAAGCCCAAAATCAGAGAGGCCTGTTGGGAAGACAGAGAGGAGGCTTCCAACCATTCACATTCGTAGAAAATAATACACATTTTTTTTAGTTTAATTACTATTATACACACATATATGGCCTGCCAGAGAGAGATTCCAACCATTCAGAATAATAGAAAATAATATACATCGCAGTGGGTTAAACAACTGAGCTGCTGACCTTGCTAATTGAAAGGTTGCAGGTTCGAATCCAGGGAGCGGGGTGAGCTCCCACTGTTATCCCCAGCTTCTGACAACCTAGTTTAGAACCTAGCAGTTCTAAAATAATACAAATTATTATTAGTTTAATTACTTTTACATGCACACACATGTGTGTGTCATCTGCCAGAGAGAGATTCCAACAAAAAAAATATACATTGTTATTATTGGTTTAATTAGCATTACACACACATATGGCCTGCCAGAGAGAGATTCCAACCATGCACAATAATAGAAAATAATACATAATGCGTTGTTGTGAGTTTTCCAGGCTGTCTGGCCATGTTCCAGAAGAACTCTCTCCTGACGTTTCACCCACATCTATGGCAGGCATCCTCAGAGGTTGAGGGGTCTGTTGGAAACTAGACAGGTGGGGTTTCTATATCTGTGGAATGATGTCCAGAGTGGGAGAAAGAACTCTTGTCTGTTTTACAATGAATGTTGCCATTTAGCCACCTTGATTACAACTGAATGGCCTTGCAGATTCAAAGCCTGGCTGGTTGCTGCCTGGGAGGGGACCCTTTGTTGGGAGGTGTTAGCTGGCCCTGATTGTTTCTTGCCTCGAATTAACGTTTTCTGAATGTTGTTCTAACCCAGGCAGGAAGTTGATTAGCATCGAATGGCCTAGCAGCTTCAAAGCCTGGCTGATTGCTGCCTGGGGGGGGGAGACTTTGTTGGGAGGTGTTAGCTGGCCCTGATTGTTTCCTGCCTGGAATGTCTGCATTCTGAATGTTGTTCTAACCCAGGAAGGAAGTTGATTAGCACTGAATGGCCTAGCAGCTTCAAGGCCTGGCTGGTTGCTGCCTGGGGGGACATGACCCTTTGTTGGGAGGTGTTAGCTGGCCCTGATTGTTTCCTGCCTGGAATATCCGTTTTCTGAATGTTGTTCTAACCCAGTCAGGAAGTTGATTAGCATTGAATGGCCTAGCAGCTTCAAAGCCTGGCTGGTTGCTGCCTGGGAGGGGATACTTTGTTGGGAGGTGTTAGCTGGCCCTGATTGTTTCCTGCTTGAAATATCCATTTTCTGATTGTTGTTCTAACCCAGGCAGGAAGTGGATTAGCACTGAATGGCCTAGCAGCTTCAAAGCCTGGCAGGTTGCTGCCTGGGGGGACGGACCCTTTGTTGGGAGGTGTTAGCTGGCCCTGATTGTTTCCTGCCTCGAATATCCATTTTCTGAATGTTGTTCTAACCCAGGCAGGAAGTTGATTAGCACTGAATGGCCTAGCAGCTTCAAAGCTTGGCTGGTTGCTGCCTGGGAGAGGACCCTTTGTTGGGAGGTGTTAGCTGGCCCTGATTGTTTCTTGCTTCGAATTAACGTTTTCTGAATTTTGTTCTAACCCAAGCAGGAAGCTGAATAGCACTGACTGGCCTAGCAGCTTCAAAGCCTGGCAGGTTGCTGCCTGGGAGGGGGGAACCCTTTGTTGGGAGGTGTTAGCTGGCCCTGGTTGTTTCCTGCCTCGAATTCCATATTTTCTGAATGTTGTTCTAACTCCTCCGAACAAAGGATTTTCCCCCAGGCAGGAATCAACCAGGCTTTGGAGCTGCAAGGCTATTAAGTACTAATCAGGTTGGTCAAGGGCAACTTTCACGCTTGCCTCAAGCAGACATGAGTTCTTTCTCCCACAGAGATCAAGCGTGAGTTCTTTCTCTCACAGAGATACAAAATCCATTTTTCCTTACCTTTTCCTAGTTCCTTTTCCCGTCAAATCACCCCAAACGAGGATTTTCCTTCAGCCGCCTTTACCGGAAGTCCGCCGTCAGCGCCATCTTGGAAAAAAAAGCGATATCAGTGACGTCAGCGCCTCTCTTCCGACCATAGAGAGAAAAAAACGGCCTTCTTTTGTAGCACTTCCGGCAAAATGGCGCCGGGACGGTCCTCTCTCTCTCTCTCTCTCTCCATACCATAGAGACGACAACTTAGCTCTTCATTGCGCTCACTTTTAACTGCATAATTTAGAAAACTTTACAGGATATGGTGAACAAGGAGAGGTTAAGGATTTTATTATTACTATTATTTCCTTTAAGGGTTTTTTTTCCTTTTGGGCCGACAGCTTTAAATATCTGCAATCAAAAAGGAATTGTGGGAGTTGTAGTTGTGTTTGAGAAACGAACGGAAACCCGAGATGGGGCGCGCCCTGTTTTGAATATTGATAAAGGGGGCGTGGCTTAAGGTGGGAGGTGGAAAGGAGCAATGAGGCGAGAAAGGGGCGTGGCTTTCAATTAGCGAAGCGGCCTATCAGAGGACGAGGATGGGAAGGGGGCGTGGCCAAAGTGGGCGCGAGCCGAGAGGAAGGCGGGGCAAAGGGGGCGTGGCCTCGCCTCAGGCTTTTGTTCAGTCTGAGAAGAGGAAGGAAGAGGGAAGGAGGAAGGGAGGAAGCGGAAGCGGAAGAGGAAGAGGAAAGGGCATGTCGTACATTCCGGGCCAGCCGGTCACCGCCGTGGTGGTCAGTTAGCCTTTTAATATTATTTATGCTCTATTATATCACTATTATTTTACAGTATTATTATTTATTATTATAATATATTATTTTATTATTATTTTATGCAATTATATCACTTTATTATCATTTTTATATTTTATATTATATTAATATTATTTATGCTCTATTATATTATTATTATTGTACAGTATTATTATTTATTATTATTTTATGCAATTATATCACTTTATTATTATTTTTCTATTATATTATATTATGTGTTATTTATATTATTTATATTATTATGTCACTTTATCATCCTCTAAAATAATAATATAAATATACAATAATCATAAAAGGTATAAAATACTAATTTATATTTTCCGTTATTATTTATTATTATTTTATATTATTATGTCACATTATTTGTTTGTAATATTATATATTATTATTATTTTATATTATTATTTTTACTAATTATGCCATATTATTATTATTTGTCCATTATTTTGTATTTATATTATTATTTTATACTATTTTATTATTATTTTATGCAATTATATCTCTTTATTATTATTTTTCTATTATATTATATTATGATATTATGTGTTATTTATATTATTATGTCACGTTATCATCCTACAATATAATAATATAAATATACAATAATCCTAAAAGGTATAAAATATTAATTTATATTTTCCGTTATTATTTATTTATATTTTATACTATTATGTCACATTATTTGTTTTGTATTTATATTATTATTTTATACGATTTTATTATTATTTTATACAATTATATGACTTTATTATTATTTTTATATTATATTATATTATGTGTTATTTATATTATTTATATTATTATGTCACGTAATCATCCTATAAAATAATAATATAAATATACAACAATAATAAAAGGTATAACATATTAATTTATATTTTCCCTTATTATTTATTATTATTTTATACTATTATATCACATTCTTTGTTTGTTATATTATATATATTATATTATAATATATTATTATTTTATACTAATATATTATTATGCCATATTATTATTATTTGCCCATTATTTTATATTTATATTATTATTTTATACTATCATAATATTACATTATTATTTGTATATTATATTTTTAATTTTATATTGGTATTATATCATTAACTCATTATTATTTGTATATTATATTATTTCATTATTTTATATTTATCTTATTATTTTTTATTATTATTTTATAGTGTTGCATCACATTATTCTTCTTCATATATTATATTATATTATTATTTTATACTATTATATTATTATATTTGTCTATTTCATTATTGATTTATATTTACATTATAATTTATGTTGTTATAGTATTATTAATTTATATTATTATATCACATTATTATTTGTATGTTATAATGTTATATGTTTATTATTTCATATTATTAATATATTTTATATTTCTATTATTATTTTGTATTTATATTATTATTATTATTATTATTATTATTATTATTATCTTTATTTGTACCCCGCTAGCATCTCCCGAAGGACTCGATGCGGCTTACAAAGGCCAAGGCCTTAATACACAACATATCAATACACAATCTAAAGCAAATTAAAAACAGTTAAATCAATATTAAACAACAAGCAATAAACAATACATCAACATATAAAACTAGTATATTTTGCTTATATTATACATATATTTAATAATAAATATTTTTATATTTTAACATTCATATATTTTACTATATATTATGATTTTATATTCTATATTTTATAATGTATTATGTTATTATTTTACATTTATATTACTGTGCTATTATATTATAAATATAGTAAATAATGATTTATATGTTATATTTATATTATTATTATATATTATTATTTTATATTATTATATTATACATTATATATACTTATATTATTTTGTATGACACTATTATATCATCACATTATTATTTCTATATTATAATGTTCTGTTTATTATTTCGTACTATTATTATTTTATATTTATATTATAATTTTATATTTATATTATTACTAGTATATTTTGCTTACATATACTTTATAATAAATATTTGTATATTTTACGATATATTATGATTTTGTATTCTGTATTCTATATTTTATAATGTATTATGTTATTATTTTACATTTAATAGCAGTAATATATAGTGTAATAATAGTAATTTTAAAGTATTGTTAATATAACCATGTATTATATGAATAGCGATCCATGCAGTCATGCTGGCCACATGACCTTGGAGGTGTCTACGGACAACGCCGGCTCTTCGTTGTCTGTAGACAATGTATTACATGAGAAGAATGTCCTTTTCTGTCTTTGGTTCGTGCCAACCATTGAAAGGCCTGATGCTTCCTTGTTTGGCTGCCGGCTCTCTCTTTTATCTCCTTGTCCAAGGGTCTGCCCATGAGATCATCGCCAGCATTAGACTTTGCTTTTCGGAAAAGGGCAGCTTGTTTACGTCCTCTAAAACTCATGGCTTTCCAGCTTTATTTGCCCTGAAGGGAAAATAATCTTGCCTAGACAAGAATGTCCAGAGAAAGAAACCAGTTGGTGTATTGTCTGGCCGAAATCACTGGGTTGCTGTGAGTTTTCTGGCCTGTCTGGCCATGTCCCAGCAGCATTCTCTCCTGATGTTTGGCCTGCATCTGTGGCTAATGGCATCCTCAGAGGATCTGATGGATGTATTGTCGAAGGCTTTCATGGCTGGAATCACTAGGTTCTTGTGGGTTTTTTCGGGCTATAGGGCCATGTTCTAGAGGCATTTCTCCTGACGTTTTGCCTGCATCTATGGCAAGCATCCTCAGAGGTAGTGAGGTCTGTTGGAATTAGGACAATGGGTTTATATATCTGTGGAATGGCTGGGGTGGGGCAAGGAGCTCTTCCCTGCTGCAGTTAGGTGTGAATGTTTCAGCTGATCACCTTCATTAGCATTTGAAGGCCTGCCTGAGCCTGGGAAAATCTCTTGCTGGGAGGTGTTAATCTGTGCCTGGTTGTTTCTTCTCTGTTGTTTTGCTGTTGTAATTTTAGAGTTTTTTAATACTGGTAGCCAGATTTTGTTCATTTTCATGGTCTCTTCCTTTCTGTTGAAATTGTCCACATGCTTGTGGATTTCAATGGCTTCTCTGTGTAGTCTGACATGGTGGTTGTTAGTGTGGTCCAGCATTTCTGTGTTCTCAAATAATATGCTGTGTCCAGGCTGGTTCATCAGGTGCTCTGCTATGGCTGACTTCTCTGGTTGAAGTAGTCTGCAGTGCCTTTCATGTTCCTTGATGCGTGTCTGGGCGCTGCGTTTGGTGGTCCCTATGTAGACTTGTCCACAGCTGCAGGGTATACGGT